CCCCCCACTCTGACCGGTGTCCGCCGCTCCCTGCCCGGTGGGGGAATTGGCTGGAGGGCGGGCCTCCCTGCGGAAAGCGACGTCATGGCCGCTCCTGCAGTGTGAATGAATCAAACTGCCTGGGTGACCGCGGCCTCCCCGGCGTCCGGCACGCGAAGGGTGGAGGGGGAGGGGGAAAGAGGCGGGCGGGGGGGGGAGGAGGGGAAAAAAGCCAGGGCTGCAGCAACAGCGTCTCGACCGGGATGTGCACCAACCCGGGAGAGCGAGATCAAAGGGATTTGAAACAGACTGAGGACTGGCGCGGGGGGGAGGGGGGCAGCCAGCCTGTGGAATCCTCCTGGAGAGGCGGAGGGTCTTGCTTCCGCCGTGACTTCGGCGGCCTGGTTGGGCTTTTTATTATTATTTTCAAATTCCTGAATCCAGCTTGAGAGAGAGAGAGCGAGAGCGAGAGATCTTCGTAGACTGCGACTCGCTGGCTCTCGCTCCGAGATGATGCAGAGCGCAGCTGTCCCCGCGGAGGGGGCTGTCAAGGGGCTCCCGGAGATGCTTGGTGTGCCGATGCAACGTAAGACACCCCCCTTTCTCGCTGATTTAATTGAATAACAAGACAGCCGGCAGCCCCGGCTGGTGCGGCTGGTGCGGGGCGGGCCGGACGCTGCGCGCAGCCTGGACCGAAGGGGCCGGGCGGGGCGAGGGGCAGCCCGGGTGCAGAGGCGGTCACAGGGCAGGGGCGAAGGGCCTGGCTCTTGGCTTTTGGGGCAGAAAGTGAAAGCCTTCCAGATCCGAGAGTACCGAACCCGGCATCCCCAGCCCATGGCTTTTCTAGGACCATTGGGGACAGAGTGCTGTTTGGGGACACCAGGGGAACAAGCTGCAGGGCAGGCCTGAGGGCTGGGTGGTCTCCCCAAATCACCCTCGCTCCCACCCCGCCGGGGGCTACTGCCAAAGCTCCCAGCATAGCGATAGCAACTTCACCCTCGCTGGCGGGACGCTGGAGAGCGCGTC